CTTCCCAGCTTCCCTCATCGGTTGCGGCACGACGGCTCCGCCCACTCCTCCCCGCCTTCGTCCCCTCCCTCCCACAACAGGGCTCTCCCCAGTCTGGGATTCCCCCTCACGCTGGGATAACCCCTCCGCCTCCTCCACCCCCGACCCCGCGCACCCAGGGAGTGGTTGCTTTGCAGGCCTCAATTGCGCAGGCTCAGGTGGAGATCCTTGCCCTCAGATAGCCTCACCCTTCACAGGTTGCTCACCCTTCTTCTTCTTCTATCACCCCTTCGGCCTCCATGATGCCCGCTCGTTTCCCTCTACCTGCTCCTCAACCTCTCCCCTGCTACCTAGCCGTTCCGGGACAGCTACTCGCGGCCATTGCCTCCACATCCGCTAGTCCATTTGCCAGTGGCCACGGTCCATAGCCTTCCCCGATCTCAGCCCCTGCAGCGGCCCCGACTTTCGCCGCCGCACTGCAAGCGCTGCGGTCTCTCCCCCCCTGCCATCAGCACAACGGACATCCTCCTGTGCGCACCTCGGACATTCCCGAGTATGATGGCACATCCCGTGTCTCTCGCTGGTTGCGGATAGCAACATACACACTCTCGCTGACGACCACCCGTCAGGAGTTGTGGTGCGATGTGCTCGCAAGCAAATTGCGAGGCAACCCTTCCACTGCGTGGGAGGACTATTATACCCAGCGCCTATGCGTGGGTGAGGTCCCCACTTTTGCAGACTTTGCGGCCTTCCTCCAGGACCGCTTTGGCGCTCGCCATGACTCAACTGACGCCACGTCACCCAGACCCGATGGTCTGGCTCCTCTGCACCGTCTAACCTCGATCATCACATCCGGGTGTTTGAGGACGCCCACCTTGTTTGCGATGAGACGTTCCTCTCGGAGGTCACCCTCACCGACCGGTTCCTTGTCAGTCTTCCGACTGACTACTGCAAGGAGCTATGGAGGCGGTCATTTTCTTCCGCGGAGCAGGCAAACAAGGCTGCACATCAGTATCAAAGGATGTGCAGTCGTTTTTTCGTTGCCCCGTCTTCTCCGCCATCCACCGCCGCCGCCACCCAGTCATGCGGCACTACTCGCGGTCGATCCTCTTTCGCCGGCCGTTTTTGCCGACCAGCTCGGCCAGGAGCGTCATTCCCATGGTGCTATAGTTCCCTTGAGTATGGCGAGGACTCCTCAACCGATCTTGACCCTACGTTTGGGGACGCCCTCGAGGACATCGAGCTTCAGGGTATCATTTAGTACCACTTGGATGACGACACAGTCCCGGTGGCCGAGCGTTTGCAGATAGTGATGTTCGCGATGGGTCGTGCACACAGTCGAGTTGCACAGGCTGGGATAGACCTCCGGCAGGGTTTCGTCCCTCCTCGCGGAGCTCTATCCCTTGAGGAGCGCACCGCCCTCGAGGCTCGTCGTGGTTGCCTTCGCTGCCGCCAGGATGGACACACCTCCTCACGGTGTCCATACCATGCTGCCCTCGATCGACACTATGCTGACACTTCTCATCAGTGCCAATCTTAGTCCCCCCCCGGCCTCGCCCGGCCAGCCCCATCCAGTTAGCCACGATGCAGTGTACCGCTGAGGCCTCGCACGTAGCCGGCTTCCCGACCAGCGAGTCGAAGTTTGCCCCTTGGGCTACCACACCAGAGGATCCTGAGGACACGACAGACCCTGTTCCCTCTGCCCCGTCGTCTGTCGAGGTACCGTCTGCCCCACAGCAGACCGCCACATCTAGTTCTTCCCGTCCGAGACTTTCGACGCGTCGCGCCATTCGCAAAGCTCGTCGTAGTGCTCAGTTGGCGACTCGCGAGGATGTTGTGTCCTCTCTCCTGGATTTGAGCATTCTTCAGGCTCGTCAAGAACGACTTACAAGATAGGTAAACGTCTTGCGTCGTCTTCTCGCTCTGCTCTCTGACCCTGATTGCACCCTCCCCATTATTCCCATCTGCCTTGGGACATCTATGAGGGTGTACCGCGCTTTATGGGACACCGACTCGCATGGACATTTCATTCACCCTCGCGTGGTTAAGGAAGCTCGGCTGGCTACCTCTGGGTGTCGCTCTCCTATCTCCGTTACCCTCGGAGATAACAAGACAGCGCTTCTTCGATGAGATGGTCCCTGATGTTCATTTCTCCCTCACCCTCCAGCCACCGGATAGTACCCAGGTGCCTCAACGCGGCCATTCCTCCGCATACTTGGACGTGTTGGAGACTTGGTACAACTTTATCCTTGGCACTCCCTGGTCTCGCCAGTTCCGTGGCACAGAGGCCGAATGGGCGACGAAAACACTCGTTCTCAAAACGAAGTGTGGTCAGACCCATCGAGTCCCCTTCATTGGAGCCACCGACGACACCTGTCCTGACCTACCTCCTAAGGACCCTCGTTCCTCTGGGTCCCACCCAGACATCGCCTTCATTTCTCCGTGTCAATTCGCTCACTTCATACGACAGGAGGACGTCATGTTCTACTCAGTGAACGTCATGAATCTTCTTTGCTATGATCCATTTTGTCCCGAGATTGAGCTCATCTCATTGGAGCCCGATCCTCCTGACCCTCCGTCCATCCCCGTGACTCCATCTCTGCATCCACCCCTTAGCCTGCGGATACCCCCTTGACATCCCAGGTCCCTACGTCGTCCATTGCCAAGTCCACGGTCCACCCATACATCTCGTGTCGATGCAGACGTCGAGGAACTCACGCGGTTCACAACCGACTTAGAGTCTTCCGTTCGCGATCTGATTCGAGAGTACCGCGACGTTTTTCCCCAGTATTTCTCATACAACAGGATCCCTCCGATGCACAGTGTTGGGCACTCTATCCAGCTCATGCCTGACTATCGTGTCCACCATCAGGCACCCTACCGACTCTCGATGCTAGAGGCGACAGAACTCAAGCGTCAGCTTGAGGAGCTCCTTCGACTGGGTTTGATTAAACCTAGTAACTCCCCTTGGGGTGCATCCGTCCTCTTTGCTCGCAAAGCGGACGAAACTCTTCGCGTCTGAATTGACTACCGCGGTCTTAAACGTTACACTGTTAAGAACAACTATCCCATGCCCCGCGCGGATGAGTTGTTTGATCGTTTGGCAGACAACCAGTTCTTCATGAAGATCGATCTTCGTAGCAGTTACCACCAGATCCGTGTTGCCACAGAGGACCAACCGAAGACCGCCTTTCGGTTGCGCTTCGGCCACTACGAGTTCACGATGATGCCATTCGGCCTCACCAACGCACCTGCCACCTTCCAGACGACGATAAACGATATCTTCAAGGACATCCTTGAAAAATACGTTCTCATATACCTTGATAACATCTTGGTCTACAGTCGTACCCTAGAAGACCATATCTGACACCTCCACGATGTCCTACAACGCATACGCAAGCACGACTTCTATGCCAAGCTTAGTAAGTGCCGCTTTGCCCAGCGTAAAGTGAACTTCTTAGGACACCATGTGTCTAACCAGGGTCTCCACATGGACGACGTGAAGTTCACTGATATTGCAGAGTGACCTGTCCCACATCCATCAAGCAGCTTCGCAATTTTCTAGGCCTCACTAGTTACTATAGTAATTTCATCCAGGGATACGCTAGGTATTCCTACGTCGTTACCTCCACTCTCCTCCGGAAGAACCCGCCATGGTTTTGGACACCCCTCTGCAAGGATGTTTTTCTCGCCTTCAAGAAGGCGGTGACTTATGCGGCGGTTTTTCGCCTTCCAGATTTTGATCGTCCCTTAATCGTCATCACTGATGCGTCTGATTTTGCAATAGGAGTTGTACTTTCTCAGGTGATTCTCTCTCCTCCTGATTCACCTTTTATCCCCATGTCCCTCCTTCCCCACCCTTTCCTGTTGGCACTGCTTCTCGACTGACGCTTAGCCTTCCACCACTACCCGCCGTTGACAGTCCTCCCATTTCTTACTCTTCGACCATCGCGGAGGATGAGACTGTCGAGGCTCGTGCTGGGGATTGCTCGATCGCCTTCTACTCCCGTCAGCTACTGCCCGCCGAGATAAACTACACTGTCGATGAACGTGAGGTTCTCGCTGTAGTTTATGCTACCCAGCACTGGCATCATTACTTGCACGGGGCGCCCTTCACGGTGCACACGGACAACTCTGTTGTCCAGGCTTTCCTCACGAAGCCCAAGCTTTCCCCTCGACAGACACGCTGGTGGTGCGATTTATCCGAGTTCAGTTTCACCACTCAGCCTATCAAAGGTGAAACGAACCGTGTCGCCGATGTCTTGTCCCGTCGTCTTGACCGCAATCAGGAACCCATCCATCTTGCTGCCGTTTCGGTTACCACTGTCGATCAGTCAGTGATTGACACATATCGCACTCAGTATCGCCACTGTCCATATTATTGCATCATCCACTTGACACTGCGGAGTGGCAAGACCGTTCCTTCAGACTCCCTTGGTGAGAACGACTCGTCCTGTTTACGGAGAATTTGAAAGACACTGACCGACCATTCGTTATCACTGCTGACTCGGACTCGAATCGGATTAATAGACCGATTGTTGTCCCTTTCGATAACCCCAGACTCCGCTCGTCTTGCCCGTTCCCTCCTGCCCTGCCGACCGCCACTATTAGAGCCAACATTTTTACCTGTCGTGTTCAAGAATGGTGTCCATTGACGAATGAACATGGACTCTATGGAGATCAAATCAGTGGGCACTACAATTTCCACAGGTAATAAGCAGTAAGATTTCATGCCAAAAGACTTCCACCAACGATACAAGTGCATGTTCTTAGTGTTACGTTTACAAACAGACACGTGTTCTCTCCATCTAGTCAACGGTGACCGGGACGTTTGACCGACATACAAAGACTTACAACGGCTCGAGGTAACGACGTACACACAGTTCAGCTGAGTAAGGAAATCAAGACCAAAGCGTAAGTACAGTTTGACCCAGGGGTCAACGCATTTCGTAAGCCATCGGAAGCGGCCACGCAGAGCCAACAGCAGAGTAAGAAGGCAACAGATCAAATCCAGACCTTCATCGGCTGAGTGCCTGAATGAAATGATGACATCGGTAATAAGGACCCATTGATCCGTGGTGAAGCATGTTCAGGCATGCGCTCCTTTGTCTGTGTCGTCAAGATCCGATTGTGCAACACCTTCTTCCACATTCTCGAAAGTGTCGAATTCCGGTAATTGATCGCTAAAACGCAATTGCTCGCGCCTATCAGCGAGGTCAAAAATAGCTTGCACTTTCGGGGCGTAGCTAACCCCCTCCTCCCGACAGAATGCCCGCAATGTGTCATAATCCAGTTTCGATAGCTCCCTCCGTTTGCTATCGAGAAACATCAAACGTTCCATCATAGAGTCTCTAGCAGGTGACTTCATAGCGGTCAGCGCTTTGGAGGTTGTTCCTCTCGTCGACCGTCGAGCAACGATCTTCGTTCGTGTACGTTGAAGGCGTTCTGAGAGACACACAGACCGCACGATCGCTCGCTTACTCACTCGCTTAGCTGGTGTTGTCACCGGTGGGCTGTCCCCCACTGGTGTGTCCTCCCCACACTTACGTTTCTCCTGTATCGACAGATTCCCTGCGCCTTCGGTGATAGCCTCCACTTCGCTAGATGTACCAGATGCTGACGGGATGTCTTCAATCGCGATAACCTTTTCTTTCCCCTTAGTAATCGGCGTCGTTTTTACGGAAATTGATAGCGCCTTACGAACTTTCGTTCTAATCTCCTCCCTGATATCACTCAACCTCACGGAAAGCTGGACCTCGACGACTTTCCCCATAGCCAACTGCTCCTCCTCGCGTTTACGCTGCTTCTCTGCTTTGCGAAAAGCGCGCTCCGCTTCCGCCGCTCTGGCTGCCTCCTCCGCCAAACGAGCCTCCTCGCGTTCGCGACGACGCTGCTCCCTCTCCATTCGTCGAGCTTTCTCCATCTCAACGAATTCCTGGACCGATGCGACTGTCTTGCCGAGTTCCTCGAGTCGAACTTCAGCAACAGGTTCAGCCACTGGCGGATGCTGTGCTCGATCCCGCGGTGGCGATGCGACTCTTATCCTCCGATTAAACTCAGCTGGGCAAATATACCCATCAGCTTCAATTTGTCGCCGAGCCACCGGATCAGTCCAGTACTTCCAACAATCGGTTCGATAGTGACCAGCCACTCGACATCCGAAGCAAACCGGTGGACCACGGCGTGGAGGGTCATTCCTTCGATCTTCACGGCTATTACTCCTCGAACCTCCATAACGTTCGCGACTCTCCTCTCTGCTCCCGTGGCGACCTCGCTCTAGTGATCGGGGGCGCCTCCCCTCTCTACTCCCATCTCGATAGTAGTGCAACGAAGTTGCCTCTACCAAGAAAATTCGGGAACGCCTTCAACTTTTTTGTCCGTGTGCCAGCACAAAGTGTGGCGTCAGAGTTTCCATAGTACATGAAATTGGAAGGGAAACAGTCAGTACTTCGTTTATACGAGAAGCAAATTGCTGTGAAAATAGAAAAAGATCTTCGCTTAAACCCAAGGGTCGACAAAAAAATATCATAATTAATTACGACTGGCGTCAATGGTTTTTTGGTTATTAGAACAAAGAATTACAAATTATTACACCAAATTACAAGTGGATGAAATCGGTCGAGTGGTTTCGGTAGGAGATGGAATTACACGTGTTTATGGATTGAACAAGATTCAAGTTGGAGAAATGGTCGAATTTTCCAGTGGTGTTAAAGGAATGACACTGAATCTAGAAAATGAGAGTGTAGGAATTGTGGTTTTTGGTAATGATACTGCCATTAAAGAAGGAGATATTGTCAAACGTACTGGATCTATTGTAGATGTTCCTGTAGGAAGATCTATGTTGGGTCGTGTTGTTGATGCGTTAGGAGTACCTATTGATGGAAAAGGTGCTTTAGGCGCTGTAGAGCGAAGACGTGTAGAAGTCAAAGCTCCGRGAATTATTTCACGTAAATCTGTGCATGAACCAATGCAAACAGGATTAAAAGCGGTGGATAGCCTTGTTCCAATAGGTCGTGGTCAACGAGAACTTATTATTGGAGATAGACAAACAGGTAAGAGTGCTATAGCTATTAATACTATATTGAATCAGAAGCAGATCAATGCAAAAGGTGCCTCTGAGAAAGAAAAACTGTATTGTGTGTATGTAGCAATTGGTCAGAAGCGTTCGACCGTAGCACAATTAGTGAAAATTCTTTCAGAAGCGGGTGCTTTAGAATATTCTATTATTGTGGCAGCCACTGCATCAGATCCTGCTCCTCTTCAATTTCTTGCTCCTTATGCAGGTTGTGCTATGGGAGAATTTCTACGTCCTCGTAGGGTGCTTTGATCTTTTTGCAGTGCTTCGCGCCTTTGAAATCGTGCCTGGCTGCGTGTGTTTAGAGATTTTTGACCACAAAGGAGCGAAGCCGCTACCATTCCATTTTTTCCGAAACCGAAAGGAACTACTATGATTTTACATAATCGAGGCAGCCGCCAGGCTGTTGTATAATGAAGTTTTAATAACAAATCTTGACGTAACACATTTTCATAATGAAAACGGAGTCTATTTTGCATGTTTGAAATTCTGCCTAAGGAGTAGATGCTTGTGCCTGAGCATAATCTATTTTATCTGAGAACACATGCAAAGATGTTTGACCATATTTTCTGCATTCAGTCTATGATGGCCAAAGAACTCCGTAACGTCCTCTTCACAGCTTGTAGTCAAGAGTGAACAGCAGGGACGAAAAACGTGCTCACTCCCAGTCGAAGACTTCAGGAAGGTTCACAGAGCCTCAGAAGGTATATGTGAAAGACACATTCCAAGTTGATCATACTCGCAGAGTATATCAAGACAAAAAAGTCACACCACACGTAACACAAAGCTGGAATGATACAAAATAGACAACAGTCGGTGTCAATCATTCGTTCCGCAACCCCAGGACCACCAATCATTCCGCAATCTACGGTCAATCGTGGAACAACCGTGATAGACCGTCCACCGAAAGAGGACTATTACATAACCAGACACTTAAGTACTACGTGGTTCGGTACTTGACTCTCGGTAGCGGTCTGACATCCACTATAACCGTCAGAGCTTCTAAGAAAACACGGCACCAAAGATAATGAGTACTATGGCAGTCTGTAGTTCGAATCCGATCTGCAATCATACTAAACCGTAACAATCCTCGTCTCAGAGCCAAAATCAAATCCACACAAAGCAACAGGGTCTGGGCTCCGACAACCCCTACAAAACGACAAAAAATATGAGCCAAATCCAAACCCTCAAAACGCCCGGGCTCAAGGGGCCTAAGTCATTCTACCGAACTATCCTACAAACGGGCCAAGAAGGACCAAAGGGTATCATACCCCCCCAAAAAGTAAACCCTGTCACTACAACAAACACATTTTACTAACCTAAAAATATATATCCAACAAAGATACAATGACACGTTGCTCATCACATTTATAAACAAGTATGAATCTCAACACACATCCAAACAACCGTCTCAGACGAGAGGATGGGCGTGTCTCTTAGGATACAATGAAACCTTGCTCATCACATTTATAAACAAGTATGGATCTAAATACACATCCAAACTATCGTCTCGAGCGAGAGGATGGGCGTGTCTATAATTAGAATTCTAAACGAGTCCTGATTTCATCAAACATCCAAACAACCGTCTCGACCGAGAGGATGGACATGCCTATGTAACTTAGTTCCAACCTAAATTGAATTTGTGAAAAAAAGGACACAATATAATGTCTTATTTAATGAATAACCTGTGTAGCATCGTGTTCGGGTTCGGTCACCGAACCCGAACGAGCGCCAAAACCTCCCTAACGAGAACATAAAAAATATTTTTAAAAAACAATGCTCAGAAAAATCTGAAAAAAAAAAATGTTATGTAAAATAATAAACAAAACAACTTTTGCCTTGGGGGTATGTTCAAATTCGTAACCAAACTCGAGTCAAAAAATCAAAAACATTTTTTTTTTTAATTTTTTTTTTAGTATGTTCGGCCGAACACGTTCGGGGGGCGTTCGGCCGAACACCCGAACATGTTCGGTGTGCTACACAACGAATTACATGTTAAGCAATCTTAGGACCGATTCATCGTCAAAAGAAGATGAATTCAGAACATGTCCATCAATGGTGTTCGAGAAACCTGAATAAGCCGAAACTTAGCATACTCATTCTTAAGCACACATGATGCACAAACAAACTAATTTCAAAAAGAAATCGGGCTCAAGGTGACTGTACAAGGAGCAAGTTTCCATCAGTTGAACACACACAGAGGTAAGTTACAAACAACAAAAGGAACCTGATCGTTCTTCAACAGAAGAATACCCAGTTCAGTTGGGTCCACTGCTGGCTCGTTTAGGTTATAGAGCAGTGATTGTCCCAAGAAGGACAACCCTGCACGAAGTGTTGTCCTTCACATCTGAGGCAAGCATCGGCATCCTTCCTCTGTTGCCATAACCAGTCTGGGATGCGCACGTCTCTCCAAGGGAAGGGAAGAAGGATCCATAGGGTTAGCTGGACATTTCGCAAACTTGGGAACGTTTTGTTTTTGCGGCCTACAATGACGTTTGTCAAACTCCGGGGACAGGGGGACCTTTGCCTCTGGATCTGGTTGACGCCCTTGATGACGGTCAGCAGTTCTTGAGCCAAAGTAAAAAAAAACCTACACTGGGAACCTTGACCAGCTGAGGGAGTCGATCCTCACTTATCAATACTCATTGGTCAAAGTCTGCACAGACTTCCGCAGACTCCATTGCACACCACCTCCCTTTACTCTTCTTCTGACCCTGAGAAGGGGACGTGCTTCCCTTTCGGGAAGTGGACTAGATTTGGAGTTTGGCCTCCAAATCCAAGGCTGCTCCGTCAAAGGCCCTCCATTCCTTGTGACCTGCAATATACAGGGTATGTACGTAGGTTATCCGGGTAGCTTGCATAAACAACAACAATTTGTCCTAGTTTGACATCGATAACCCAACGGTAGAGGTTAGTATTTCCCAAACTGCATAAGAGCAAGTGAGGGATCCCTGCCATTGTGACTGGCCTATCCTCACAAGCTTTGCAGAAGCTTCCTTGACTCTCTTTGGATCGGCGAATCTCTCCTCCAGTCCCTTAAATATGTGGTGCAATCCTACTCGGTCAGCTGTTTCTTGGCCCTATAGGCCTCAGAAGTCGCCCACTGAAGTGCAGGCCCTCCCAAATGGGCCCTAGTGGACTGTACCTTGGTAACCTCTGGGCAAGTGAGTTTTTTAAGGTACCATTTCATCGAGGCAATCCAATCTTCTACAACCATTTTGGGGTTATCCCCAGTGAATGTATCACGCTGGATTGTCTTGGGGCGCCTCAATTTCTGGTGGTCTAAGCTTGCAGACATCTTAGCCTTAGAAGTTGCAAGGTGTCTGACCACAAGCTGCAGAGACTACACCTTTGGCGGTGTGGTCGGTTTGCTCTTGGGGCCACTGGCTCAGGATGTTGCAGCAGCAGAGGACCTCACATGGGTATGGGGTGTAGTGCAAGGAGTATGAGTAGGTGCATGTGCCGAAATAGGAGGGAGGAAGACGCAAACTGATGTCTGTAGAGAATTTGTTAAAGGAAGCAGTGAGGGAGGGCAATGTGGCTTCAATGGTTGACAGTCTGCCCTCCATCGCAGTCGTCCTGTCGTCCCAGAAGGTGTGCCCCGTTCTAGCGCCCCTCCTGCTGTTTTCTTGCATCTTTCTAGCTTCTTCTGCCACCTCCATTTTCAACCTCCCCCCCTCTGAGCTGGATGCCTCCGCAGCCTTCCTCACCTCCTCAACTTGCTGTTCAATCAAACGTTTGGGGCCTTTCCCCGTGGCTGTTTGAAGCATCCCCCATTCCTCAAGGTTCTTTTTTATCAAATAGCATACAAAGCAGAAGTGGTCAAGGATGCAGGCCAATCACTGTCCCGCCCAATATGAAATAGAGTACTGATTTCAGACTCAGACAGACTAACGGACTCACACGGACCATTTTCTGATTGACTCACTGGATGGACACTGACCGACAAGACTGGCCAATAGGACTGCACATCGGAGGACACCCTTGACTGATCGGTCAATTGCCGTTCGCCAGTTCAATACTCATTCCCAAGCCTGAGGAGGACGGTTTTCAGCAGGTGCAGGGACTGAAAACAGTGACTACACCCAACCGCATATGGGCCCAACCTTGACCCGCGAATATCTTTTCACAGAAAATGAAATACAAGAATTCGGATTAGCGTTCACACGCAGAACAACAAACTAATCAGAATTTATGTATTGTTTACTCTGTATTAGAGAAGGGCTAGGACAGATGGCAGATTAATGTTCAGTGTCAATAGGCACTCAGGGGGTTGCAGGATGATCAGCAGCAAGATCAGACAATGATTCACTTTTACCGCACGCCGCAACCGATCAACAATAAAATAATCCTGATAAGGGCCCTCCCCGGATCTTCCCCAGAACACCAACACTTGTTAGCACGACAAGAAACCACGAGTTCTCGCAGGGGAAAAAAAATAAACTGCACGGGAAACGACCTGTCCATTTGCAGAAGAAAAACACGAAAACAGTTGCAGGCTGTGGCACGGGCCTTGCAAACCAGCAAATTGACTGTCTGGCTTCGGCAGACTGAAGGAACAGTATCACTGCACGGACCGTTCTGACGCGACCGACAGGAGCAAACTGGACTGAAACCGGGATCTGACAGGACGGACCGGGCCAGCACAGACAGAATGGAAACCAGACACGCAGCCTGTACACAGGCTCAGTACCCACGGTCAACTGCAGGCAGGGGTCAGGAGGAACAGTCAAACAACTAACGACTGTCTGACGCCGAACAGACTGACAAACACGAACTGACCTCTAGATGGATGGCAGGGTGACAGACCTGACAGACCAGTTCCCACAGACTGAAGGACTGAAGGACTGAAGTCAGAGGGACAGGTCGTCGGAACAAACTCACTCGATAAAAATCTTGATTGGAGAGATGTCGCCGGTCAACTTTGACGGGATTGGAGGGGCCTGGCTGACTCTGCGCCAGTCAGCGCCCAAACTGAATCTTCGCCACGACTTCCAATCAACCGCAGCAAATGATTTGCCGGCAGATTTCTTCTGCATATTGATCTTCCCCAAGTGGGATCTGCAAATCGGTGGGTGGACCTGAAATTTGAGGGTCGTGAGTCCCTCAGGTCAACCGGTGGATTAATTAGGGTTGACACCCTAATTAAACCGCCAGTATTTCCTAGAGTTGTGCCTGTTAACGGGCCACAATTTTAGGAAACGTATGGACTACTACAGGAGCGCCCAAATTCATCCGACTAGAAACGTTTCTACTCTTTTTTTTTTCGGTGGCCGATAGCTGGGCCAAGTACTGGTGGTTTAATTAACGTCGCGGCCAGCTCATGCTGGGAGAGCACTTTTTTTTTGTTTCTTGTTTTGAACTCCGTTGCTCGCCAACGTGCACCAATCAATCAGCATTTCACACTGCCGACAACCAGTGAAGAAGATGGGGCACCGCCGGCGAGAGAGTTGATGGCCAATCAATTGATTCGCTAGATGGACACGGTCGTGGCTCCCATACCAACTGTTACGTGCCTGATTGAAACGAGATCCAACATGGCATCCACACGTTTTCATACATGTGCGTAATGACAAGTGGACTTGGAGAGAGCAATCCACACCAAACCAGATGAGGAAAATACACAGCAGAAGCACACAAATACCGAAAATAGAATTGAATTCAAAATCAATTCTAATTACCGTCTCTCCCCAATTCAAGCAACACCCAACCACATTATCAACACCCACGGACCAATTATTTACAAAGTTTCATCGAAGTATCCAGGAGTCTTCTTCTTCCTCCCTGTTCCTCAAGCTCTAGCTATGGTGCTTGAAAGCACCCAGCCTATCAAGCCTGCCAATCGCCACACACCCTCCTAAATCCAACACGTCACTCTGCACCACTCATGAAGCCCAGCTGCAGATGATGTGTCCACTCAGCAGGGGAGCGCAGCTCTCAGGATGAAGATGAAGGCCTGCCACATCAAAGAAGACTTCATTGAGCTACTTCGTAGCAGCCGCCCAAACCCCCACAGCACAGAAATAGGAGGAAGCACTCTTCAGTATTTGGGTGCCTAGCCCAGTGCTGCCATTAACAAACCTGCTCGGCCCCAGCTATGGCCACCAGCAGCGTGTGAAGATGCTGCTGCCGCGCTACTGAAAAATAGCTCTCCAGCTCGAATGCGACCTCACACCCAGCTCGTGAAAAGAAGAATGAGGAAAAAAAGGAAACCTGAATGCCTCACCAGCATCCTATTTCTAACACGACCTGCATCTTGACCTAAGACAAACAGAACACTAAGATATACGAGCCTACACAAAAGCAGCCGAGAAAGTCGAAAGGAGAAGGCCTAGTGGTGTAAGGGTGCCCAGAAAAGAGACCCCAGCAAGTGACAAGTACAGGGGTCGAGCCCCGCAAACCTCAAGACGTCGAAAAACTACAAAACTATACTTAGAAGGCAGTCCCAGTAAGGAACAGGTCAGGGGATCAAGCCCAGTAGCAAAATATTACAGAACTAATCTAGTTGGTTATACAGCCCGCTGGGAATCTGCAGTTTGCATAACCATGTCAAAGCCATGACCAACGTAAGTAATTTTCCAAAGAAAAGACTTATCACCTCGTTCAAGCTAACGGAACCATGATGATGACATAGAACTCATTGTGCATTTACGCCAGTGCTGGGCCCCGGATGGACCGGGGGACCTTCGACTGACCGAAAGCCTGCCGGTCGGCCCGGGTGGTTTACCAGCCCGGCAGGCCCCCGGTTCAATCGGGCGCACTGCGTTTGGGGGGGGGTACTGCGGATTTCCAGGCGTCCCCGTCCCTGCCCAGCCTCTGGGAGGCCGCCGCCACCACTTCGGAAGAAAACTGAGGCCTACTGGACCCCGTTTTCTGAAGAAAACTAACGGCCAATCTCTGCTGCCGATCGGTGCAGATCGCCGGTGGAGATCAACCGCGCATTTTCTGAAGAGTGCGGGGTCCGGTAGGGCACCGTTTTCGAATTTGAAAACGCGGTCGATTTCGACCGCAGATCTGCGGATTTGCGGCCGAAGTCGGCCGCGTTTTCAAATCTCCTCGTGGCCTGCTTTTGGCTGCCTTTGCCCCGCCTGCCCCAGTCTGTGCAGCAGCACGCGACGTTGACGTCGCACCATTCAGAATGCACGTCGACGTCGTGTGCTGCGACAACATAACCAGCACCAGCGCCCTGTCTCCAGCCCGCCATCGACATAGCCCTGCAGCTGCTTCTCCCCGCCAGCCCGCTTCATTGCAAATGTCCCCCATAGCCACAAAGGTCGGTCCGGCAGTTTAGTTTCTTTTCTTTTTCTTTTTCTTTTCTTGACGTTCTTCGTCTTCTTCTTCGTGGTACTTTTACACCACCCTCTCCTCCTCCTCCTCCTCTTCTGCTTCTTCGTCTTCTCTTCTCCTCCTCCTCGTCCTCTTCTTCTTCTTCTCCTCCTCCTCCTCCTCCTCCTCTTCCTCTTCTTCTTCTTCTTCTTCTTCTTCTTCTTCTTCTTTCTTCTTCTTCTTCTTCTTCTTCTTCTTTTTCTTCTTCTTCTTCTTCTTCTTCTTCTTCTTCTTCTCGGCCTCCTCCTTGTCCTCGCCTTCATCGTATTTTCCCTCCTCCTCCTCTTCTTGTTCTTCTCCTCCTCCTCCTCCTCCTCTTCTTGTTCTCCTCCTCCTCCTCCTCTTCTTCTTCTTCTTCTTCTTCTTCTCCTCCTCCTCCTCCTCCTCCTTCCTCCTCCTCTTCTTCTTCTCGTCCTCCTCCTTGTCCTCGTCCTCATCATCTTTTTCCCTCCTCCTCTTCTTCTTGTTCTTCTCCTCGTCCTCTTCTTCTTCATCTTTTTCCCTCCACGTCCTCTTCTCCTCCTCCTCCTCCTCTGCTTCGCTCCCCGTTGAGCCATAGCCATAGCCATAGCAATTTGTTTTTGTTTTTTCATCTTTTGTATCAGATTCTTCTTCTTCTTCTTCTTCTTCTTCTTCTTCTTCTTCTTCTTGTCCTCCTCCTTTTGTTTTTTCATCTTTCATATCAGATTCTTCTTCTTCTGCTTCTTCTTCTTCTTCTTCTTCTTCTTCTTCTTCTTCATGTCCTCCTCCTCCTCCTCTACTTCCCTCCACATTGAGGTAGAGCAAAAGCCATAGCGATTTTTTCCTTTTTTTCATCTTCGGTGTCAGTTTCTTCTTCTTCTTCTTCTTCTTCTTCTTCTTCTTCTTCTCCGTTCTTTCTCCTCTTCTCCTCCTCTTCTTTTTCTTCTTCTTCTCCTCCTCCTTTGCCTCCTCCTCCTCCTCTGCTTTCCTGCCCTTTGAGCCAGAGCCATAGCCATAGCGATTTTATTTTATTATTATCTTTCGTATCAGGTTCTTCCTTTTTCCTCTTCTTCTTCTTCTTCTTCTTCTTCTTCTTCTTCTTCTTCTTGTGCTTCTGCTCCTCCTCCTCCTCCTCCTCCTCTGCTTCCCTCCGCGTTGAGGCAGAGCCATAGCGATTTATTTTTTTTCATCGTCAGTGTCAGATTCTTCTTCTTCTTCTTCTTCTCCGTTTCCTCCTCCTCCTCCTCCTCGTCCTCTGCTTCCCTCCACGTTGAGTCAGAGCCGTAGCCCCCCCTACCCCCCCACCCCCAAACCCCAACCCCCAGAGCCGAAAAAAAAACATCCTGACCTTGCAAGTTTTAATGCGGAATCCGACAGATCTCAGAGAGCGCAGTCGGATGCCGTAATCAGAAAAAAGAAAACAAAAAAAAATTCTGGGCATTTTTCAGGGGCATTCGGTTTTGCCGGTTCACCCCCTGTGGCAGGCTGCGTAGCCACACGAGCCCTGTAGGACCCGTCCCGGACATTCAGCCTTAAAGCCTAAAACTTAGGAGCTACAGGCCCCAGTCGTTTCAGCCTGAAAACTGAAAAACGAGGGCCTGCAGGCCCTACTCCGTTTCAGCCTATTTCTGGGTCTTTCAGACCCAGAGTTTTTCCAGCCTGAAACGGAGGGCTATTCTTAGGCCCTGGGCTATTTTTAGGCCCTCATTTGTTTCGACCTGCCCTAAGATTCAGGCACGAAAACTGGGTTTCGGAACAGGCTATTTCTGGCCTGTTCCCACGCCAGCTCGAGCAGGAGCTGCAGCTGCAGCCCCTGCCTCCCTGCGGCATTATTGGCGAGAGCACGAGCAGGAGCTGCAGCTGCGGCCCCTGCCTCCCTTCGGCATTATTGGCAAGAGCACGAGCAGGAGCTGCAGCTGCAGCCCCTGCCTCCCTTCGGCATTATTGGCAGCCTCCTGGACTGCTCGCCCGAGTCAGGAGGCACCCGTGATAGTACATAGGAGCTTCAGGCACTGAACGGGTAGGCAGTTGGAGAGTAGGACGGTAGTCTTCAGATTTCGGCCGCAGCACTCAGGAGGAGCGCTGCAGTAGTCTTCAGCGCTAGGCAGTCGTGGTAGCGCTAGCAGTAGTCATCGGCGCTGGGCGCCATAGCCATAGCTGTAGTCATCAGCGCTGGGCGCTAGTTGGAGGTAGAGCGTAGAGTTGGGGGGGTACTGGCGGAGGCCAGTGATACTTACCTGTGGCGCCATCGCTCCAGCTCCACCTTCGAGGTACCTGCATCAAGGCGCCAACTTCACAGGTTAGTATTGGACTGAGAGAGAGAGAGAGAGAGAGANAGAGAGAGAGAGAGAGAGAGAGAGAGAGAGAGAGAGAGTTCTTCTTCCTCTTCTTCTAAGTCCACCATCTCTTCTTCCCCTCTCGCCACCTATTTCTCAGTGTCAGTGGACTACTACAGAGAGAGAGTTGTGACATGAGACTTGACGACATTGGATCCAGACTCGACATTGGGATTCAGACATTTTCCCTTCTGCTTCGTCTAACCCCACCTCCTTCGTCTGTGTATGGTTGGGGCTGACGCAGTCTTCTTGTGTGAAGCGCCAGACCCCTTCACACCATGATGATGATGATGTATGTTCGGGGCTGCATTACAATATTGATTGTTCAGATCATTGGTATCTAAGTCTTCCGCTGTGCTATCTTATACTTTGTATTGAAAGGTCGGTTCTTGTTCTGGTCTGCACCTATACGGTATGCAACACCCCCCCTGACCAGTCCGGCCCTGGTTGGACCAGGGCAAGTGATCCCGCCGGTTGCTGGCCCAGCCTTGATTTACGCACAATAACAGCATAGACGACTCAGACTCAACATCATGACTGAGCAAATAAATACAGGCATGGAAACAAAACATCAACCTGTAACACGAAATATGAAGTACAGAAATGAGAATGACAAAATGCAAACCGAAACACCTGCTTCATTCCGTCAAGCTCTGTCCTGTTCCTGCCCATATGCTCAAATAAAGATCACCTCCAGCTACTGCTCCACACCTACTCCTACCCCTGGCTACCGTTCTTTCCCCAGATAGAACGTAATATCATTACAGCTGTATTTTTTGGGGCAACTTTCAGTGTCGATACAGCAATAATGACCATAAGTTTGATTTTGGGGGACAGACAATAGGCCTCCTTACTACCGAGCTGTCAGAAAGAACACTCGGCCATGACAGCTATTGGCCACGCAGGATCATATGCTATTGCCTCAGTTCTTTTTTTGTGTCCGGGGAGTTTTTTGCCGACTTCCCCCCCCCCCCCCCCCCCCGTTCTTCGGCATTCCATTGCTGCGGCCATTAAACCACCAGTACTTGGCCCAGCTATCGATGCCGAGCCTGGAATGCCCCTGCGCACCAATTTTTGCCGAAGCGTCGGGGTACCGTTTCAATTTTTTTTTGGCTGCGCTTCCAGCCATTGTGGTCCGGTACCCCGAAGCCCTAAAGGCACGGCGCGTTAACGGGGAAGCGCCGTGGCCGATAGCTGGGCCAAGTAATGGTGGTTTAAAGGAGCTTTGAACAAAGGAGGGGTTTTCCTTAACCTGGTCTGCTGTGCTGAATTGCCGGTCAGCATGAATCTGAACGGGCAGCGCAGAGAACGACACTTCCATGAACAGAAACATGAATTCCTCCTGTCAACCTTGCGTGAAGAAAGAAAGGAAAGCAGTCACTCAAGGATCTGTTATGAAAATGGACTTGCATCCAACACCACGGAAGGCGCGGTGAGACAAGGAAGTAGTAAAGGATGATAAGATGAAGAAGAGCCTGCCGGCCCCCAGAATAGCTGGGAAAGTGTGCTGTTATAAAAACAAAACGAAGAGGAGGAAGAGGAAGAAGAAGAAGAAGAGACTACCCAAGACAAAGAAGTGGAAACGGACGAGGATGAGAATCGACTCGTTGAAACAAAGCAGCACCAGGGCAAGGTGGATGCAACACCAGAAGGATGAAGAGGAGGATAAGGAGAGGAGTGTCAGGGCCGGGGAATACTAACAGTGATAGATGTTTGCTTTGTACTATTTATGTTGCATGCCATGATGATCAGTCGCATATGTAGCCAAAGCTCAGCCCACTACCTTCTTCCCTCGAATGCAACATACGGTAATTATAACCGTATTTGGGGTATCTTTCAGTATTATAACTGTATTTGGTGTATCTTTCAGTCTAAATACAGTTATAATGACAGTATGTTGTATTTGGGGGAAGAAGGTAGGAAACATACACACATTTGGCCTCAGCAGACAAACTAATAGGCAAATCATTTAAACCCATAGACAGAGTAAGGGTGCACTGATGATGTCCTACCCTCCTGACGCCTTTGCGCGTTTTTTTTTTTGGTTACTTCTTCCAGAGACGCCATTCATTCCGATGGACGAAGTGAAAAAGGAGTTGGAACTGGCGCCAACAAGCGAAAGTCCTTACTTTATGATACTTCTGTGCAGTTTTGCGCCACAAAGACTTCTCAAGTTCAGGATCTCCGTGGCGTCAGACATTCCCTATACCTTCACCTCTGTCGACAGTGCATCAAAGCGATCGATTGCAACCTAGAGGCCATCCTCTATCTTGCAGCAGCACCGAAAGAGCGAGACCTTGGTTCCTCCTCCATTCACTAGCAACATACATGAAGGTTTCTCTGCCCTAACGCTTCTACACCTCCGCCTGTGTGCATGCATGTCCGCTTCCCCTCTGTGATGGTCCATCGAAGCGATAGATTGCAGCCTAGAAGCCATCCTCTATCTTACAGCAGCCCCTCATTTAGCTAGAGAAGCACCAAAAGAATGAAACCTTGCTCCCTCCTCCATCCACTAGCAACATACATACAGGGAAGTTTCTCTGCCCTTGCACTTTCTACACCTCCATCTCTGTGTGCATGCAGGTCCACTGCGGTTGAGATCCTCTTCTCTATCCCCGAAATCAGCTCCTCCCCCCCCCCCCCTTGTCTCTCCCTGCGCCGTGCATGAATCTTCAAGCAACAGTGCAGCCAACGCTGGAGAACAACCAAGCCTCACGTCACATCCTGGGATGGACTAGCAAGAGTTGAAGGCAACAGACACCCAACCTTCCCGAGCAGACAGCAGGGCAGCAGGACGGCAGGGTGATGCACGACCCATACCCATCATCTATGAAATGGCACAACATATACAAACATGATATGTAATCCTCACGAGTTGTGTTCACCGTCTTCTGTGAACCGACCTCTATTGCCCCCGTTCACCACCAATTGTTTCATCCTGTTGTATTTCCTCAAGTTGTTACGCAATTAAATAACAGGCTATAACAGTTCCTCTCTCTTTTTTTTTTTTTTTTTTTTTTTTTTAGGACCATGCTCCAATCTATTTGTGGAGAGCAGCATGTGCTGGGAACCGGGCCCAGCATCCCTTGTGAAAATAGACAGGACACCTTGAAGCACCGGGGCCATTAGCCGGCTTCGGCTAAGAGCAATCAGACACATGCCGGAAGAGTTGACTGCAGTTCCGTGGATGAGGTTTGTCTTTTCAGAATGCCAAAGAGTCTAGTTTGTTTTGTAGTTTGACTTTCTAGAAACCAGACACTCCCCACATATACGACTGTCATTCATTATGATTATGGTCTGCTGCTCACTGCATCAGCAACAGCAGCTGTCCCTTTTTCCTTTGTTTATGTACATAATAATGATTACCATCCTGATAAGATTTAGTGTAAAAAAAATACTAAAGATCAAATTAGGAATGAAACTTTCCAGGCACACACGTATCAGCAGTGGGTGGGTGGGTGGAGGGCAGACTTAGTTTTTCCCAGCTACCAAGTTTTTTAGATAGAACAGTGTTGGCCGCCCACTCGGGTCTCCCGAGCAGAATGGGGAGAAGAGTAAGTGTGTGTCATAAATGTAAATATCCGACTTGCTGGTGGAAAAGGAACCAGACTGATGCTCCCCAGAATGAATATGGAGCCACAACCTTAAGGTTCTGTTTTTTTGGAAGAAACATAATAATAAATAACGGAGGGTGTTTCCTCTCATGGAGATTTGAGCAGTAGGAGGTAGAAGGCCTGTAGTAGCATGGAAGAGTCCATGCTCAAGCAATGTGGTCATACACTGAGATGTAATCCTCTGCCGCATCGTTTGTCCGAGTTTTCAATTGACTTCAATTCTATTGCAGAAAGAAGGACATGACTGTGCCAGACTGTTTCATTGGACTTTCACCAACTCATCAGGAGGTTGAACCTTGACAGGTAGTCCACCCAGGATGTATTTGACTGATGGACAAGGATAATATTAAGGACTCACCGCATCAGCGACAATTAGCCATAATGCCCCTGAGGGATTCAAGGGTTCGGTGTAGTAAAGTCAACCACTTTTCTCACCACAGGGTGCTATCGCTAATTGTTGGTGACGGTTAGTCCCCGTCAATCCCCTGTGTTGCATACCAAGATGGTACAGACCAGAACCAAGAACCGACCTATCACAGATAGAGCAAGATAGCACAGCGGAAGACTGGAACACCAATGATCAGACCCAATCAGTGTCGAAATGCAGACTGGACATACATCATCATCATCACACGGTGTGAACGGCCTGGCGCCACACACAAGGACGAAGGTGCCAGGCCCAGCTCATACACAGATGAGGAGGAGGTGGAAGAGACGAAGCAGAGGGCGTGGAGGGGATGAGAATGTCGTCAACCCAAATGTCGTTGATATCAATCCCAAATAGTCCCCCACCACGTCTCTGTCCAATGTCGAGTCTGAATCCCAAATGTCGCCAATCCCCCCCCTCTCTCTCTCTCTCTCTCTCTCTCTCTCTCTCTCTCTCTCTCTCTCTCTCTCTCTCTCTCTACCAGGTACTGACCTGCGAAAGGTGGCGCCTTGATGCAGGTACGGACGTGCTGAAGTTAAAGCTGGAGCAATGGTGTGGCAGGTAAGTCTCAGGTAAGTCCCCTGGCCTCCGCCAAAGTCTCTCTCTTCTCCCTGCGCTACTCAACTCCTATCAGGGCCCAGCACTGGAAGACTACTATCGTCGACTACTACTGTACTGATGTTGTCCTGAAGAATGCCCAACACCATCCTCTACTCAATGCCGGACTGAGGCTGGACCCAGGTATATATAGCGCTGGGTCGGCCTCAGCGGCTGAGTCTGTCGCCCAAACTGAGGCTGGGCCTCAAAATTTTGGCGCCCAAACTGAGGCTGAGCTTCAATTGGCCAAACGTCTAATGAAACGGCGCAGCCTCTGAATCAGGGTCTGGCGCCCAAAACGCGCACCAGGGCCTGTAGCCCAAACGAGGCCTACAGGGCCTCTAACTGGTACCGGTCCTACTCGGGCCTAAACTGGCCTACCGACCCTACGGGCCCCTACTGTGGGCCGAAACGACACAGACCTTATACTCTACTAGCCCCTAGTCTACCTGGTCGGGCCCTGCTGGGCCCGTGTGGAACTGAGTATGCCACACCCCCCCCCCTCCTTGAAAGACCGAGCTTACCTGCGAGGGCGAAGCTGTCTGTTGGAGGGAGGGACCGAAGTCCGGGTGGGAGAAGCAGGCTTTGCAGCTTCCATGGCTAGGCGTTGCTTCTCATATTCGACGTAGATGAGTGGTGCGGAGGCTTGCAAGGCTGCTCGTGAAATCCATCTCGTGTCGTCGCGGTCGCACCACTTGAATGTGACCTTGTACTGCATTGGCTTGTTGCCGTGCTTGCGATGCGTGATGATGTGATCGACTTCCTGATGACCATCCATAGAAGGAGGGTCCTGCGATTATCGGCCCGGGAAGTCGCCGCGCTTGGCTGGTGTATATGTAGCCAGCTTGGAGGCGTGAAAAACCGGGTGGATTAGTAGATGCGGCGGGATTTCGATCACAAAGGAGGGGCCATTGGGCTCATCGTCCGTGGCTGATGTGTCGGTCCATGGTCCAAACCACTTAGGAAGTGGCTTGCACGAGACATCTTGTTTGAGTGCAAACTCCTCCGTGGAGACCCAAACAAGGTCGCCAGCGCGGATAGGGCATGGCACGCGATGTCGATTGGCTTGCTGTTGCATGAGCGAGCTTTAGCCAGCAAGTCCTGATACTTCCAAACGGAGGCGGGAGAGCAAGCGGCATCAATGTTGGCAGTCTGTGGGAATGGAGATCAGCGAAGATACGGCCTTTCCGGCCACCGTGGTGCAACTCGAATGGAGTCACGCCGATCATCGGATGCAACGAAGTGTTGTAGGCGAACTCGATGTCGGGGAGGCGGTCAACCCAATCCTTCTGATCCGTACGGATGAGCGTACAGAGCATCATTTGAGCGGTTTGATGTGGCCGCTCCGTTTGCCCGTCCGTTTGTGGATGTCGAGCCAATCTCCGTTTCATCTCGGTGTCGGACTCCTTGATGAGAGAAGTCCAGAATGCCGACATAAAATGAGTGTCGCGGTTGCTGGCGATGTCTTCCAAAATGTCGTGGAAGCAAATCCAGCCGGTGTGCAAAGTCACACAAGCTAAGGAGTCGTGGCGTAGTATTTGCAGGGAAGAAATCGTGCGTACTTGCTCAAATGATCAACGATTGTGAGAATGTCGGCGTGCCCGAAGCGGTCGTTGGGGGAATGGGCCGGTGATGTCCATAGCAATGGAGAGGTCGGGTTCCCGCAGGATAGGCAACGTGCGTAACTCGCCGTAGGGGTTGCGATTGCGGGGTTTGCTTCGTTGGCAAACTTCACCAGAGTCACAATACCGAATGACATAGGTAACGAGGTCGGGCCACCGAAATCCTTGCCGAAGTCTTGCGATCGTACGATTGACTCCGAAGTGGCCGGCGAGTCGCGAGTCGTGGTACTCGCCAAGGAGGTGAGTCCATAAGTGACGGTTGTGTGGGACGCATAGTAAGTCCTTGCCTTGTGAGTGAAGAAGCAAGTAGCCATCGACAACGCGGTAGTGGCTGGCCGGCGCGTGATCCGAGGATAGTTGCTCGTAGAGCATGGCGTATTCCGGATCGGACTTGTATGCTCGCACAAAATAATGTTGAAGCCCGTCGTCGAAACTGAACGCGTGGTGAGTCCATGCGCAAAGATCTGATCTTCGCGAGAAAGCATTCGCGGCTCGATTGGAAAGGCCCGAAATGTGTTTTGGTGTGAAGTCGAATTGGTCGATGAAGTACATTCGTTGAACGATTGTACTGCTCACCTTGTCTTGCGACTTGTACTAGGTCAATGGGTTATTATCCGTAGCCCAAGTGTTACATGCTGAAAGCCTACACACGGGCCCGTCACGGGACCCGAGGTTGGAATAGGGGCCCCAGGTCGCGTCACCGCAACCTGAAGGCCCTATGGCATTTTTACTTGGGCCTGCATCAGAAAAACGCCAGCTTTAGATTATTTTTATATTCTTTTATTTATTTATTTGCTGCTGTTTTTCTAACGGTTGTACTGTTATCCGTTTTGTGGCCAGGTACATGTTTTAGGACCAGGGCCAGATTCAGGCCCAGAGGCTGAGCTCCTAAAAACGTTTGGACCTTTTCTTTTGTTTTCGAGCAGATTGCTACCTGTTCGGACCCAGGCCGACGTTGAGGCCGGGTACGTCCGCACAGGACCGGTTCGAAGCCAGGTACCAGGAAACTGAATCCTGGACAGGGCCTGGACGTCCGGTAGGGACCTAGGCAGGTCGTTTTAGGCCAAGGACTGAACCAGTTTCAAAGCCTGCGATATGGACCGTGGATCGGAGTTTCGATCTGCACGGCCCAGAACGCAGGCCGTGGGTTTTCAGTCCTGGCCCAGCGCTACTTAAGCTGGGTCGTTGCCCAGTTTGTGGACAGAAGGTACCAGGAGAAATCCAGCGTTATGCTGGTTCAGGAACTTCGCTGCTGCGCTATTTTGGAGACTCCCTGCTGCGCTATTTCGAGACTGCAGCTGCGCTGCTCATCGGCCATGGGTCACAGCGCTGGAGGAGTCCAGCGCCGAGGAGGGTAGTGGAGTTAGAGAGAGAGAGAGAGAGAGAGAGAGAGAGAGAGAGAGAAGAGGACTTACCTGCACCAGYGCCATAGCTGGCTCCGCGGTACCTGCAAGTTCAGCCATCGCCAGGTAAGTGCAGAAAGCGCCTAGCTTTCTTCTTCTTCCTCTTCTTCTTCTCCTTCTTCTTCTCCTCTCCTCTTCTCCTCCTACTCCTCCGAAGTTCTTCTTCTTCTTCTTCTTCTTCTTCTTCTTCTTCTTTATCAGAGTAGAGATAGAGGTAACTGCAGACATTGTTTGGACACGGCCTTCTTCCTTATTGGACACGACATTCAGATCGGACTTACACTCTACATTGGGATTGAACTGTGTNGACTTACACTCTACATTGGGATTGAACTGTGTACGACATTCGGAGATCAGACTTGGGTTGGACTTGGTTACTATGTCCCTCCCCCTTCTCTCTCGCATGTCTATGGATCTCTCCCCATGTGTGTGAGCGGAAGGGCAATCTTTCTGATGTCTTGCCCTTCCGAAGTTTCTCCCTTTCATGTTGTCGTCCACATGTCCTTTTGATACTAAATCTTCCACTGCGCTGCTTCCCAGCCTATGATGATAATGATACGAATGTGTTGTTGTTGATTTCTCATTGTTTCACTCTTTGCATTGTGCGCATTGACACCTTGTGAATGTTGCACCTATGCTGCTGGTTATTGCCACTTTCGTCATTGCTAGATCCTAGGCTTTCAGTGCATTTCACTTTCTGATATGCTACAAGTGGTATCGGAGCCAGTGCAATGAATCTTGGCAGCAACCAATCAATCGATTGATTGATTGGATTGGCGGTTTGCCACCAATCAATCTTCGATTGATTGATCAGTCAATCACGAGATTGATTGAACAATCGATCAATCAACCAGCAATCATCTCAGATTGATTGATTGATTGATTGATTGATTGATTGATTAATTAGTTGATTGATTATTTGGCAATTTTTTTATCTTGGAAATTTCCCGGAATTAATTAATTATTTATTTTTATTTTTTTTCCGAGAAATTATTTTTTTTCCGAGATTTTTTTTTTTCCCCGAGAAATTATTTCTTTTTCCGAGATTTTTTTTCGAGAAATTATTATTCTTTTCCGAAAATTTATTTTTCCGAGAAATTTGGTTTCCGAGAATTTTTTTTCATTCTGAGAATTCTTTTTCCGAGAAAATTTTTTTATTACCTTGTTTAAATTGTTAAATGTCTGCATTTTGACAAATTCGATTCTTTTTCTGAAAATGTCCCTCTACACTTTCACTGCGTAGGTTTGCAAATTCCGTTCTTTTTTTTCAAAAAAAAAAAAAAAAGGGCATTTTTTTCCTTTCTGCAACCTACTCCTACTCTAAGTGGTAAAGATACTTCTTTTCTGATTCTCTGCTGTTTGAGCACCGAAGGTTCACAATTGCTTCTTGCATCACCTTCGGCACTCAGTGGGATTGGACAATTTTTTTTTCGAATTTTGATTTATTTCTTAATCAAAATTATTATTTTTTTCTTTTTGATTAGGGAACTGTTCAATTTAGGATCTGTCCGATCCTTCCCACCTGTCTGCTGCCTACCTGTTCTTTCCCCTCCAGTCCGAATACTGGGCCAGTCTATCTGATTGGCCCATAGGTGACTCTTCAGAGCAGTGCATGCCACGACTCACTCGATCACAGACCAAGACCATGGACCGGAAGGAGGGAGAATCCCTCCTGGCCTATGAGGAACGCCTGGCTGCTTTCATCCAGGAGGCCAATGACAGGGCTGCCGCCGGGGCCAAGGAACGTGGTCGGATTGAGCAAGAAGAGGAGGCCAAGCGACAAAAGGAAAAACAGGACCGACTTCGTCAAGAGGAGGCAGACCTGCTGGCGACAGCCGAACACCGGTCACGCATCAGCCCTTGCGCAGGTCTCCCACGACCTCGTGGCCACCTGCGCTCTGCAGCAAGAGGAAATCCTTCACCTGCAGCAAACAGTGGACCAGATGCTCGCACGGCTGCAGGCGTTGGAAAAACAACCAGCTGTTGTAGCAGCCGCAGGGCCTTCAAACCTTGCCACCCGTGTTCAAGTTCTGGAGGACGACGTCAGCAATATCAAGCGTGTGCATCAGGACTTCAGGACGTCGCAGCAAGCAACGAACTTGCAGTTGGAGACGAAGGTCCAGGCTGCTGCCACCGTGACGCCCGCCGCCGCATCCTCCAGGCGACCACCCAAACTGGATGACATTCCAGTTTTCTGTGATCAGTCCAAGACGGAACCGATCCCGTTGTGGCGCCAGTTTACTCTCAGGCTCGACATGCACCATGTCCCGAACAACGACCGACATCCGTGCTTGTACCACCGATCTGGTGGTGCATGTCAAGCATGGCTGGACAACATCTTGACCAGCCACGGCGTAGCAGTGTCAGAACTGCACACCAAGCTCACTTGGCAGGAGTTGACTGACGCGTGGCACAAGCGATTCCAAGTGGAGCCGCCCGACCTGCAAGCGATGGACAAGCTCAACAAGCTCCATCAGAACACGCTGCTCAGTCAGGACTGGATTACCGAGTTCCAAAGACTCGCCTCCACACCTGACCTGCCGCTCGCATTCCGCGCCATCAAGCACTTGTTTATCATGCGCTCGTGTCCAGCTCTGCAAAACGCGCTGACGCAGATTGCAGAGACACTCGACCCATCTGACAAGCTTTTCAGCACAGCGTCACGGATCATTCTCACGAATATCGAAGCCCGCAACGCCGGCCGATCTTCCGCGACGACGAGCGGCACCCAGCCCAAGCCAAAGGTGGCTTGCATTACTTCTACCGAGGCTGCAACACCAAACGAGGGTGAAGTGTTGGCAGCTGCCCAGGATGGTGGCCGGCCGCGCAACAACCACGGCCGCGACAAGACGAAGACTCAGTCCACCTCTACACCGAGCACCGGATCAGCCGCCGACGAACCTTGGACGCAATACGGACTCTCGACGAATTCCTATCGCACGCGACTCAAGTACCGTTATTGCCTTTGGTGCAACAGCACCATCCACGATGTTGCACATTGCCCCACCAAGGGGAAACCCCGTCCGGGAAAGTAGGCGCCGCCGAGGGTGACTCTACATCTCCCTCTACGCCATCGGAAGCGGTTGTGGCCACGACCGCCCTTTCTTCCGAGGCATATGCGGATGTCGGGAGTCTTCCACTTTCGTTCGAAGACTTCGCTGCCCGGCTCGTTCCTTCACTAGATGCTTCTCAAGGACAAGATACATGTGCGGCTTTCTCACCGTCCGAAGGTTCTTCCGCCAGTTCGTCTTCATCAAGGGATTCGGCAAGCGTGTTCAACGAGGAGGCTTTGGACCCGCTCACGCCCGAGGATTTCGCTTGGGTTCCTCTCCCTACGACGGACAATCTTCCGGGGCCGCAAAGCGCAGCCCTATGCGCCCTCTTACACGAGTATCTTTTCTTCCATGCACCACCAACTTCGCCGACGGTAGACGAAGTCACGGTGGGGGACATGCTTGGCTACGTTGCCAAGGTGGCCCGCGAGTTTGTCTCGCAACGGTACGCAGAAAACAACGCACCGTTGCTCTACGTTCGCATTCAGATTGGGCAAGCGGCCTGCAACGCTTTGCTAGATTGCGGCGCAACTCGCAACTTCATCAGCAAGTCCTTCATGACTCGGGCTGGCCTTGGCGCACAAGTACGGAGGAAGTCACATCCGACGACGGTCGCTCTTGCCGACTTCGATGTCATTTTGGGGATGCCTTGGCTTTCTAGCGCGGACCACACGGTCAATTTCCATCGACGCACGCTCACGATTCGTGATGCCACTGGCGCCGAGGTCCCGTGTACTATTCCTCCTCCTCGCTCTTCCATTCGGTGCCAAGTCGTGAGTGCCAAATCTTTTCGAGACACATGCCGTTCTGAGCGTGTCGAAGAGATTGGCATCGCTTTTCTTTGAACCGTCCCGACGAGCAATTCATTGTCCACGGATGTGTCTTCCGACCCCCGTGTGACCCGGTTGTTAGACGAGTTCTCAGATGTTTTTGAGACACCCTCCGGTATAGTGCCGGACCGGCCAATCTCTCACGAGATCATACTTGAGGCCAGTGCCATGCCACCGAAGGGATGCATTTATCGCATGTCCCATGTGGAACTGAGTATGCCACACCTGATGAGACTGACAGCAGTGGAGGCACTCCCCTGGGTATTTCTGAGATTTGTAAAAGGGGATGCTGGGCCCTTTTCCCAGCAGTTGCAGCTCCCCACTCATAGATGGAGGCTCCCTGGGACTAGCTAGAGGTGTCTGCTCCTACCAGAATCTCAAGCTGCCTCTGGGGATTGTTTTTGTAGAAATAAAATTATATTAAAAAAAAAAAAAAAAAGAAGAATGACAGCAAGTGTGAGAAACTACCGTCTTACCCCCAACATAATGTATATGCATTGTATTCAAGTTTTCAAAAAATTTCAAAATCCGAATAGAACACACATGCATTGTATTCGAATAGATACCAACCTATGCGTTGTTTTCGAATAGATAGCAACCCATGCGTTGTGTTCGTTTACAGTGCATACGCGGTATGTTCAGGGGACAACGGTAGTCTGTCACCACCATAAAACCCACTCCACACACCCACTAAGCCCGGGACGTGCATGCCAAACAACTACGATTGCTACAACTATTTTTTGCTTCCAGACTTTTGACACCCTGGTACACAGGAAACATGATGCAATTGAGGCACACTCAAACAACTGGATTTGTTCCGGTCAAAGACTTTCACTGTAATCATCATCACACAATAAAGCAATCTGCAATTAGTGAAATTGTGGACAAAACAATAACAACGGCAAGAAAAGCCGCAGACTCGCACCAAAAAAAAAGGTGCAGAAAGGATAGCAAGAGACTGTCTTGCTGGACTCTGGACCGGCTCATGAGGAAGTTGAAATCCCGTGATTCCATTGCAAGAGGCGGGCAGGCAGATGAAAGCAACGCGGTGGGCAGCAGCGACGCAGCCAAGCGGCCTGAGCAGGCTTGTGAGTGGCGAGGCAAGCACCAAGGCCTGAGGGAAAGGGCACAGGAGGGTGGGGAAGGCAAGCAGATGAACAGCAAAGAGACAGAGCACGCAGAAGCACAGCAGGCCGGCAGGAAGGAGGGCATACAGCAGAGCAAGCAGCAAGACGCCAAGGCAGGCAGCATCACAGGCAACATGGCAGCATTGACACCTATTCAGATATTAAACTGGTCAGAACATCTTATTCCATTCGCATTCAATCAAAGACTCAAAAAAAATTGTAAATGCAAAACTTTCAGCCAAAACATAGAACCAGGGAGGACCACCACCTTGAAAACACGGGTTCAACTCGCGTTATTCGCCTCTTGCATCTGAGCTCTGGCCAGCCAAAGCGGCGTCAAGACAGTTATTTATTGACTGAAGTCAATGAAACTAAGTTAATTGTGGCTTATAAATAGTAATAAGAGGTGATAATGGTCGATTGATTTTCAAAATGACCCTGGTAGTCCATGCCGTAAATGATGAGCGTTGGTCCTTGGTCTTTGAGTTCTCTTACCTATTTGGAGGGGTTTCACTGGATCAAGTGACCAGTTTCCCCAGTGGACTTCCAGGCAACCTCAGGACACGTTCCCCAACCTGAAATCAACGGAACCAAAGCACTGATGAGTCGGTGAACATGTGATGCCTTTCTCCACGAATTTATCCTCGAATACAATGGTATTTTTTTACAGCAGGCAAATCTTTGACTCTACCTCGTCGAACCATAACAATAGAGTGCTCTTGTAAGTTATGGCCTTCTCCCGGAATGTATGCGATCTAAACTTGTGTTTTCTTTTGTCAAATGTCGTCTCCACAAGGCGCCTGCGAGGATTTGACCCCTCGGCAGTGCTGGGAAAGGCCTTGCCCGCCCAAAGTGAAGGCGGGCCTATCAATACGTGCCAAGGCCTGGGTACAGGCCAGTGTGATCACCCTAAAGGGGTCGTATATGTGCGGGGAATGGGCCCTCGCGGGGCCCTTAACAGACATGCACATGTTCTGGGCAGAGGACCTCAGCAAGCCCTGTGCCCGCCCTAAGTTAAGGCGGGCCTGAATATTCACAAGAGGCCAAGATTGGACTTTTTTCCATATATGGGTATCAGACAGTTGCAGCATGCCAGTTGGTTACAGAGCAACGTGAGCCTCTCCAGGCTCTTTCCGGAAGTTGCAGCCTCGACGGGCAGTTGAGCCCAGGACCCCATAAAGTTAAGGCCCTGGGCGTGTGCTCTCAGAGGCCAACACATCATACAACAGCCATGGACCAATGAGATTGCAGCATTGTTGGCACAAAGTGGCCGTGAGCCAATGAGATCACAGCGAACATGTGGAGGCCCATGGACTGCCTGGACGTGCCCAACTGTAAAGGGCCCAGGCCCGTAACTGCAACTGGGTCTGGACGCAGGCATTGAGGCCCGACGGGAAGCTACTGGATGCCCGCCCAGCCAGGCCCAGAGGCAGCAGAGGCTGAGCTCACTTTCCATATAGGAAAGTGAGCATCTCTGAGCAGGTCATTCTGGCCTAGGCAGGCAATGCGGCAACGCTGCTGCGTTGCAACTTCGTGTCTGCACGAAGCTGCCGGCTGGGTCACGCGCACGGGCGCTGAGGTGTGAGGTGCACTGCTGGGCAGTGGGCGCACGGCAGCCATAGCCGGGCTGCTGGGCGCAGGTCTGGATGGCGATGGTGGTCTTTGGGTGTTGAGAATGCACACTGTGGGAAGTCAGGGGTGATGAGGAGAGACGAGATACATGCAATGACTTGCTGGTTCCAGGTTGCCTGTAGCCTCACTCTGACGAGGCTGTACCATAGTTAGGGACAGATTCGGAATTTTGTTTGGCTGAGGACTAACCGAGAGACCTGCCTGTATGGAATATTCGTGAGGGACATATCTGTAAATATAGAAATATGGGCCCAGTACTAACTCGATTTTCCTACAGCTACCCTAACTGCGAATAGCAGACCCGGGCTACCCCTAGGACAGACAGGCCCTATGGGCCTACGCTGATAGACGGTCCTATAGCCTATAGCCGGGTAGGGAGAGGCC